TCAGACATGCCTGCTCCTGTCCCCCAATTTAAATAGATGTACACATCTCATTTTAATCATAGCTTTTACTTTAGTTTGTTGTTATTCATCTTGAATATTCAGTCATTAAAGAACTGATTCTCACATTTGCCCTGCACTTCTGTTATGGGGCAGAGACCTGGTTTCCCCAGGGTTAGCGCAGTGACAGTCATGCATGGACGAACTCACACCTCTGTCCTGCAGCGTTCAGCACACTGACTGGTACGTGCTAGAAGCCCCGTAAATACTAAAGAGAGGAACAGCCCTTTCCTTCAATACTGTATGCTGCTTCCTCCTTGCTTTGTTTGGCTCTGTAAGACATACCACCAGATGATATACATGACATACATCTACTTATTCACTGTTCCTCTTTCTCTGCTGTAATGTAAGCTCCAGGAGGACAGGACCTGCTTTGTCTAGTTTAACTCCTGCTGTATCACAGGTAGAATAGTGCTTGGCAATTGGTAGATGCTGAATAAACATTCATTACATGAATGAATGAATGAATGTCATTTTCTCTGATTCAATCAAAAGTCTTTATTTTTCTGTTTGGAATCTAAAGTTACTTCTCCCTTTCTTGTGGCTTTCTTAGTAGTTTGCCTCTCCTCTCCATCTTCCATTCTCATTTTCTCTGCAAATCCTTCCCTGTTACTAGAGAGGCAGATAGCACATCCTCCTTTATTAATTAGATCAGGATAAAAGGGCGGCATTTATCTGGAGCTCCCAGTAATTTTGAGAGGGCAGGGATGTGCCTCCTACACACTTTATATGTGTTCCTCACGTACTCGTATGCTGCCTGGATTTTGGCTTATCTTCTACTCATCCCCTGAACTTTACTGTGAGCACGCACCTCTCATTCTCATAATGCCCAGCTTGGTAACAGGGCCTGACTGATTCGGACTCCAGCCCGTGGGATCCATATGTTGTGGCTGCAATGAACAAATTCACATTAACTACGGAAGTCCTGTGGAGAAAAAGGGACAGCATGGTGCCCTGACCTTGCCTGGACAGGCTTTTATTGCTTCCCTGGGTACATTACATCAAGGATGTTCCTCATTTACTATGTACGGGTTTGCTGTAGGTGATTACCTTTTACAGATAACAAAGGAAAGAATGTTGCTAATTACTTCAAAGAGAAGGATGTTTCAGATGCAAGGGAAAAGTGGTTGAACTGGTGGTTATACTCTATACTGGGGAGGTTTAGCACAGATTTTAGGAAGCTGCTTTAAAGATACACAGTAAACATTTGTGCCTCAATCCAGGCTGAGGGAGTTTTAGCAAAAACAAGCCTCATGGTAGCCTAGGTATAATGCAGGCCTGATTCCCCACAGGAAAACCGGTCCATGGGTTCTGGTCCTATGTGCTGACTTGCTCCCTGTTGGTTTTCTGAATCAGGGACTGGGCTACAAACATCATACCACGCAGGACGGTTCCCTAAACCTGACAAAGAATGGGCCCTCAGCAAGTGTTTGCTGCAAAAAAGAAAGAATGAACATCAGTGTTACTCTGTAAGCAATAGGAGACCCTGCCTTATAGGGCAGCTTCTCCAGAGCAGTCCATGCCTCCCTCACTGCCAAGACTCCCCTGGGGGAACGGATGCCCTGACCAGGCTGATGCTTAAAGAGCATTTGCTCTCTCAACAATTTCCAGGCTTTTGTGGACTTCTTATTACTTTTTAACCTTGAAAATGATTTATTTCCATTTTACCCCCTGAACAAATGACCACCTCTTAGGTGTTAGCTGTTAAGCCTAAATTGTAGTATGCTCCCCCCCCCCCCCCCCGCAATATACCTACATCTTAATCCCCAAAACCTGTGAGTGCCGCCTCATATGGCAAAAGGGACTTCGTAGCTGTGATGAAGAGCTTGAGATGGGTAGACTATCCTGGATTGTCTGGTGGGCCCAACATCACAATAGTCCCTCATGAGAGGGACGCAGGAGGAGACAGAGAAGGCAATGACAGAAGCAGCAATTGGAGTGGTGAACTTTGAAGATGGAGGACGACACTGCAAGTCAAGGAATGCCAGTGACCACCAGAAGCTGAAAAGGGCAAGGCAAAGAATTTCTCCTCAGAGCCTTTGGAAGGAACCAGTCCTGTGTTTAGTCCAGTGAAACCGATTTTATACTTCTGGAATCCAGAACTGTAAGAGAATACTGCTGTGCTTTTTAAAGCCAGTACATTTGTGGTAATTTGTTATAGCAGCAATAGGAAACTAATGCACTAAATGAATGTTTTTTAAAAAGTACTTTTTATTTATTGTTTTTAGAGGAAGGGGGAGAGAGAGAGAGAGAGAGAGAAACATCAGTTTGTTGTTCCCTCATTTATGCATTTGTTAGTTGATTCTTATTTGTGCCCTGGCTGGGGATCGAACCTGCAATCCTGGCATATCAGGATAATGCTCCAACTAATTCGGCTATGGTCAGGGCACAACTGTTTTTGTCTCTTAGGGCCTGTTTGTTTTTACTTGGATTTATTCCAAAAACATATTTCTTGTGATTGGGGTTGGAAGAGCAAGGAGGTGCCCCTGCCTCTGGTTTTGATGCCCTTGTTGCTGTAATTATGGGTCTCTTTTCCCATGTGAACAGCCTGTCTCAGCAGCCTCCTGCTGCCTGGCCAAGTCTCCAGCTGGTTGTCTCCGCCGGGCCGCACAAGTGCACACCCACTCCATCCCTTGCTCTTCACCCTGGCTCTGGCCTGTCCTTTGTGCATTGTGCAAAAATGTCATCCCGACAAAAGGATGTCAGCAGACAAATCTAGTTGACTGGGGCGAGCTTTATGAGGAAACATTGGAGGAGCACCTCACCCACTCTGAGCACCCAGCGCCATGACCAGTGCAGACTATTTGTTGAGTTGGAGTTTCCTTGGTTTTCCTCTTCAAGGACTTTAAACTAAAGTATGTCTGCGCTATGTGATCACAATTTCCCCACTGAGCACTGCAACTGGCCATAAAGCAAAGATGTAACACTTTGCTTTCTGGAATGTCTTTAATCTCAACTTGTATAACAGAAATGTGGCATGGAAAACCTTGCACGCCCCTGGCAATGTGAGGCTTACCTGGGCCCGAAGGAGTAAGACTGTATGAAGGCAAGAGGCTTGGGATGCTGAGAATGACCAGACTTTGCCAGAACCTATGTTTGGGACAAGTCAGAAGAACAGCCTGCGGAGTCCTATTCCCATCATCCCACCCACGCCCTGGGAAATTCTTCCTGAGCAGCTGTGTCTGCAGAGCTACACCAGCCATGTTAGTCAAGTTCCCCACTAATATTTATAGCAGTTGCTTCAACTCTTTCCAAACAGTGTCTGTTGTGGGAGGGGCTGAGTTAGAGCCCCCAGAGGGTAGTAGCTGTGAGTTCACAGCTTGGGCCTCGAGACAACAGGAAGTAAGTGGGGGCAGTGAATGCAGTTTCCAAGAGAAAGTGCCACCTGTGCAGATGGGGTAGGACGGCGAGCCTGGGGCTGGGAGCCTCTGCCCTGCAGTAGGCGAAAGCCTGGCTCCAGGAAGGGGAGAAATGGAAAGCATCCAAGAGAAATGAAGTGTTCCCACCTCCTGCCTGACTACAGCCAGGACTATGGCTATTTGCTAACTTGCTCCAGCCTCTGCTTCCTTATCTCTTTTAGGGACAAAAGCAGAAAGCTTTCAAAAAAGAGTTTTATTTTTTAGGACAATTTCTGGTTATTGTTGTTTTTAAAGTTTGAACAAGTTAAGATAGAGCAAATGACTAAAGCCTCCATTCTGAGAGTAATTATGAAACCTTCATTTTCATAGAACTATAAAGTTTACAAAACATTTCCCATAATGGAACATAAGCCCTTGAAATTGTGATGATCCTTTTACAACCATGTGAGTTTGGAGAAAGAACCTCGGGGAGATTCATCTCATGCTTTGTCAATGATCACATAGCTTGAAAATGGCAAAGCGGGGATGCAAGCCCACATTTGTGAATCCAGCCTCATGTGCTTCCTCTACACCATGGCACCCTGTGGTACCATCAGGGCATAAAAAACACTGTTCGTGATGCCATGCATACTTAAAAATTCCTGACTTCAGATTTAAAGAAGCACTCCATATTTCAGCTGGCAAAGCTGGAGCCCAGGGGTGTCTAATGGTGCTTTTGGAGGAAGGTCTGTAATTGGGTCATTTGCCTTGCTTTGAGCAAAAGGGAATGATTACAGCCTGTGGAGCTCTAGGTGATGGATTGTTTGAAGTGTCAACTTGGTTAGAATACAGCCCCCCAGTTATTCAGTCAAACATTAATCAAGATGTTGCTGTGAAGAGATTTTTGCAGATTTAAAGTTTCTAATCGATTGACTTTAGATAGGGAAGATCATCCCGGATCATCTGGGTGGGCCTAATTTAATTAATCAGAAAGATCTTAAAAATAGAGCTAAGGCTTCCTCAAAAGAGAGTAGAAATCCCCCCTGTGGAGAAGAGCTCTGGGCCAGGCCTGAATTCCAGCCTCCCATCATCTTCCCTTTCTGACTTCCCTCTGGATTGACTTGCTTAGCTCCCAGCATCATGTAAGCCAGTTCCTGGTGTATTCGCTAGTGAGACCTGCCGCAACAAACTGTCACACACTGGGTGTCTTAGAAGAACAGGCATTTATTGTGTCACAGTCCTGGAGACAAGAAGGCTGAGATAAAGGTGTTGGCAGGGTGGATTCCTTCTGAGGGCTGTGACGGAGAATCTGCTCCATGCCTTTTCCTAGCGTCTGGTGCTTTGCTCGGCTTGCAGATACAGCATATGATGTTCTCTGTGTGTGTGTGTGTGTGTGTCTCTCTGCATCCAAATTTCCCCTTTTATGAGGACACTAGTCACATTGCACTGGGGCCCACACTAATGACCCCAGTTTACTTGATCAACTCTTTAAGGCCCTATTCTCAAATAAGGTCACTTTCTGGGGTACTGGAGTTTAGGACTCAGACATATCTTCTGGGCATTCTCTGGTTGAATCAAGGCTAATTCACTGTGTGTGTCTCTCAGTCACATTCCCTGCAGCAGCTTACCGGAAAGACTGGATTCTTCAGGTAGGGCATTCCATGTCTCCAGAAACATTGCCTCATCCTCTGATCCGGAGATGTTTAATGCTGGGTGTAAGCATAATATAATTGTTCAGATCACACAAACAAGGCCCGTGCTTGGAGCTTGGAGGTTAATTATTATTGTTAGAATTCTGGGGCATCTCAGTCAGCTGAACTCTGTGGTTAGTTTCACTAAAAAGTGGAGTAATTTAACTGGAACCTGGCTTTGCCATAAGTAGCTGCTTACCCTCTAACAAGAATGAACAACCTGAGAGCTTTGTGGGGTTTGCACTAAGTGCCCACAGGTATGAGGGCTTGGAAGGGAACTGTGTAATTCAGGTGTCTGGGGCCTGGGGGCTGGTGAAGGTATTTCACATATTGGAGCCCCTGTCCCATGCCACGATCTTGTTGATTTAATCCTCACTACATTCTTTCCAGCCATGTGTCATTCACCCATTGTACGGTTGAAGAAAATGAGTCTTAAGACAACTCTTAGATCACATATCTGGTAAGCATAGGCCCAGATTCAGACACACAGTTGATCCTCATCCTTTGTGGATTCTGGATTGGCAAGTTCACTTACTCCCTAACATTTATTTGTAACTGAAAAGCAGTACTCATGGTGCTTTCAGGGTCATTCATGGATATTTGTGGAAATTTTGAGTTACCTGATGCACGCGTCCCTACTTGAGGTCCAACGGGGTGACACTCTGCCTTCTTGTTGCAGCTCTCATACTATAACTGTTCTTTCCATGGTCTGTTTAGTGCCACGTTTGTTTGTGGGGTTATTTTTTTTTCATTTTTGTGTTTTTTTGCTGGTGACTCTGCTATTCGAAATGGCCCTAAACGTAGTGCTGAAGTGCCATCTAGTGTTCCTAAGTGCGAAGGGGATGTGATGTCTTTGAAAATACACACGATAAGTTTGTTCGGGTTTGAGTTATTGTGGTATTGGCTGTGAGTTTGGTGTTAACAAATTAACAATACATCCAGTAAGGTGACTTCCAACAGAAACAGACATAAACCAGAGGCTCACGGGACCCTAACCGTGGACCCCCCCCCCCAGGAACACTGGTTCAGCATTCACTCGTTTCCGTGTTCGCGGCGACTTTGTAGAACAGAGCTGCTGCGTGTGGTGACTCCATCCGGTCCACGTTGGGCTCTAAAGGCTGTGCTTGGTTAACACATTATGAGGACGAGAATGTGGACCCGAGGTATTGGTGCCTCTTCCGCCTTACCTGTTTCAGGAATGAAGGCAACTGTGGCCTGAAAGCCTCTGAAAGTCACATTTTCATCCGACTGGAAGCTGACGAGCATTACACCAGAGGAGCTCAGCACAGGGGCTGGGGCAACGAAGCCGCACAACCGAGCTGGTTCAAGTCCAGCCCAAGCAAGACATGGTGGTCAAGGGCCCCGAAAACAGACGTGACATTGCAGTAAAAAAAAAAATGTCCTTTAGGTAACTATTAAGAGATAAACTTTTCTGGTGGATGTCACTATTTGTTTTCAAAATAGACCGGCAGTTGGCTTCTTTTTACTATGTTTTTAACCCCATCAACATTTCAGTTCTGTTTATCTCCCAAACACTCATACTCGGAATGCCACTAAAGGAATTGCTTCTAGCCAGAGGGCTTATCTCAGTGGCACTTTCCCCTTTTGACCCCTTGCTCATATGGGCTTTCCATATTTTCTGTTCAAAGGGCCCTTTGATTCTCCCCCTCCCTCACCCCGCCCTGATGTAGGGGAAGAAGGAGTGGGGGTAAGAGCGTAGGGGCAGACGGAGGTGGTACAGGGGAATGAAGGAGCATTGGGCCAGATCCTTTTAAATCCCAACAAGGACTGGGCCCCAGTGCAAACCAGGGAGACTGAACTCCAGGAGCACACACCTATTTCCTTCTTCCTTTCCACATCCTGGTGCACCGTCAAGTAGTCGGAAGTGCAGTCTCCACTCTCCTCTATTTCCAGGTTCTGAAAGGAAAGCTGAGAAAGCTCAACATTACATCCGGGGTAAATAATAGGAATGAATTACCTAGGAATGATTAAGCAGAGAAGTTTAGATTGCCCAACTCACTCTGGAGTGTGACCTTAGATGAGAAAGTTAGTGGGACCGTCATGAGTCCAGATACAGTCCCAGTATAAAGGTGGGAAAATATGCAAATATTTGAACCCCTCAGCTACCTCCTAGAAGGAGCAAAGAAACAGCAAAGTACAATGTTTGAGCAGTTTGATGGCACTGGCCCACTGAGTGTGAAGAGAAGCGTAGTGGGAGATAGGGCAGATGAAGCAGGACTTTAGATTTTGGACACACACACATGACAGGGATGCAGTGGAGCCTGAGCACTGAGCCAAAGCCACAGGACTGCAGGAGAGTACAGAAGTGGAGGCGAGTGATCATTAATGGTGAGTGTGGGCATGGGAAGAAGGAGCCGTGTCTGAAACAGGATTTATTCACACACTTCTTAAACCCTTACTGGGAGGCTTTCTGGAAATGAACCCTCTTCTCTCTGATTCATGGCATGCTCATAGTTATGTCTCGTAGTGCTAATTTCCAAATTACTACCTAGGATGAGGCCTGCGGGCTGACGCTGTGCCTGGCCAGGAGTGAGAGCCTCACTCCACTGATGCACAGCCCTCAGCGAACCTTTATTGGGTAGGTGTTTTTTAATTGCTTCCAGCTCTGGCATGTTCAGATTGTCATCTAAATTTATTTTCACCCTCCTTCCAGAAAATGCTCATACTTAAACTTTTATCCTCCATCACTGATAACAAACCTTCCCTTAATTCTTCCTCCTGAAATTTCTGCCCTGTGTTTGCATTTCAGAAACTTTTAGAAAAGATCTATGCTTACTTTCTCTGTGTCTTTTGCCTACTCATTGGCAAAACCTGTGTGATCTTGTTTCTGCTCCTAACACCTGACTTTACTTGATATTTCAGACACCACCTCTCCTGCCGCCTCTCTGCTGTTCAACTGTCCAATCCAGTTACTCTACCCTTTCATTAGGGATGAGGTGGGGACTGGACAGTGAATGTTCAGTCCTCCTCTTTAAAGTCTAACTTTGTGTTATAAATCCAAAGTATTAGCCACATTGATCTGTTAATTTTGTTCGGTGTTTTAAGTTAAAGGCTCCATGCTCTGGACCAGCACGGCAGCCTGCCAGTTTGGTTCCCCTGTGGTTCAGGTTTCTTTTAGCCACTTGAACACATGAGAACTTTGAGGTCTTGTTCACCTTACTCTTCCCCCTTTTATTTACTGCTCTGCTCTCTCAACTTCATACTCTCTTGCTTTCAATGATTATTTTAATAGAAAGACTTCTAAATAAATGCCTAGTTCCATCCTCACTCTGACTACGGTCTCACCTTAACTGCCTGGAGGCATTGCTTGGGGGATGGCTCACTGGTGTTTAATGGACAAGCAAATGAACAAACGCCACTGATTGAATACTAATAAACTCCGCCTCCTGACATTCGAGGCTCCCACACTTTGACCTGAGCCTTACCTTCCACCACCCCTGCCTCCCTCTGCATGTTACGTCTGTCCTGCCAGAGTCCCTGAACCTGTTCTACGCTGCTTGCTCTGTCCCTCTGCATGAGAGCTTGATCATTTGGGCCTTATTTTCATGGACTTGTGTTAGCCATTAATTACAAAGTGTTTCTAGAAGGGACTAGAGAGTGATGGAACAATCTGCCAGGTACAAAATTTAAAGCAGCATTTCAACAAAAAGTCAAGTGCACAGTTGCCATCTGGTGGTAAGTGTGGGTAATTACAGGAGGAAACAGGCTGGGCTGTTAACAAGTGTTTGTTGGTAGCTTTGTATGGCAAGGCGGTATAGTAGGTACTAGGTACTAAGGATACAGCAGTGAATAAGTCAGATAAAAACCTCTGCCATAATGGTGCTTATGTTAGCTCTTCTCTGGAGATACCACAGCAAAGTAAGGGTAACAGAGTCACTACCTTAATTAGATAATGTTTGGGGGCTTGAAAAACCCAGTTACAGTTGGCCATATCACTATAGTCTTCAGGGTAGTGCAGGCTCTGTATGAGGCCCTCTTCAAAAAGGACAGTTAAGGAACTGCAGCCCGAATCTGAAACACAAGGGGAAACATCTAAACAGTGGCATCGGCCAAGCAAAGAGGAACCCCTATGTTTTCCCTCCCGTCTTCCACAGAGATGCGTGAACCGAAGCTTCGAGCAGAGCCAACAGGAAGGACGAGGCTCGTGATTTTCAGAACTTGCTGGGCCCTCTCACCACACTTGCATGTGCAATAGCAGGACCATAGGCGTGCCTGTTCCTGCCGCCTCACGCCGGTGCCCCTCGGCATTGTGGAGCCAGGAGGGCCTTGGGAGGGAGCTCCCTGTCCCTCACCTAATTCCTATGCAGCCTTAGCTTCTGCAGAGGCGCCACAGAGTGTGTTATAAAAATTAATGGTTTTACCAGGAAGGTAGCTGGGTGTAAGAGCTTTATAGGTGAGATTAAACCCAGTGGAATAATCTGTGGCATCAGTGAAGAACTTCAACCTTACAGAGTTGGAGGCAACAAGAACTGATGAAGCAAGGCTTTCTCCACAGAACTTCCCTGCAACACAAGAAGATTGTGGCAGAGCTCAGAAAACCACACCATTCAAAGACTTCAGGAGAACTGAACTAGTTGTTGTGATAGTGCAGGGTTGTCTAAACCAGGGCTTCTTAACCTTGGCACTACCGACACTTAGAAGTGTTCTTTGTGTTCAGACTCCTGTGCGTTGTAGGATGTGTTGCAGCATTCCCGGCCTCTGGCCTCTGGATGCCAGTAACACTCACTCCAGCTGTAACAGCCAAAAAGCTTCTAAGACATTGCCAAATGACTCCTGGGAGGCAAAATCACCTCCAGTTAAGAACCCCTCCAAAAACACCTCTCCTTCATTTCTGTTTTTTATGTAAGTAACTTTTCTGTTCTACACACGAGTATACAATTTTATGCTTAGCTGGACAAGGCAGGTAATTGCTATGCCTAGAGAAGCAGCAAGCTGCCCTGGAGGCCCCGAGAGGTCCTGCAGTATGTCCGCACTTCACTCCCAGTGGGCTCCGGGTCTGGCAAGAGAGCCTAGAAAGCCTGGTTCCATGGGAAGCAGATGCAGCCAATAATGCACTGTGGCCTGATTTAATTCTTTTCTACTGTCAGTTTTGAGTCTCAAAAACTGGAGACAGAAAATGTGGTGTTTACAGGTGTCTCTGTGCCAGACATGTAACCAGGCCCTGCTAGCACTAATGCCCATCTGACAATCCAGTCACCAGTAAGTCTGTCTTCTGAAGAATATACTGACAGGTAGTTGTGATGACAAGACTCTGCATCCAAGTGGGAAAAACTGAGTAACACATGCATTTCCTCTGGTACCAACAGGGTCCAGACGCACAGTCTGCAGGCAGATGTATTAAGAGGATGTTGTTCTAGACCTAAAGTGGCTGTCACAGTTAACGGGCAGTCAGACCAGAGGTGAGAGGGGAGGGGTTGCAGAGGACAGTACTCACTGCTTGCCGTCATAATACAGGTAGGGGCTTTCTGGGAAGTGCAGCTCCCCCTCAGACTCGCTGACCACACGATCCTCCTCACTGCACGAGGCTGGGAGGGAACGAGAATCAGGCTAACAGTGATGGCTAGTCACAACAGCCCTCGCTTTCCTTAACCTGTACAGATGCTGGAGACTCGTGGTTGTTAGTGTGCGTGCACGCTTCCTTTTTTCATGGAATCTTTTTTGACTTGGCTTCCAGATGCTTTTCTTCTTTTTAATTCCTTTTAGGTACCGCTGCTTTGAGAGTCCATGATTTCTTCTCCTTCATTTTTGTTCTTCTGACCTCATACTCCATTCCATAAATACGGGTAGTTCCCAGGTGGTTCTGTCCTTAGTTTTCACCTGTCTCTGCCCGAGCCCTCTAACCAGTCTCAGTCATATCCTCACTTTCACCTGTCACCTCTGCACATCTGAACCTCGACCTGATTTTTCAGTCGTCCCTTAGATATGTCTCTGAAAATTAACATGCTATAAATGCAATTTCTCCTGGTGTGCACTTCTGGTCTGATTATGTTTATGTGCCCTTTTCTTAGTCCCCCATGGTCAAAACTTAGGTAACATCCTTGATTCCTCCTCCTCATCTAAGTGACCAACAAGTTCTAATTCTTCTTGTTTCTATTCCCTCCTTTTCATTCTCTGGCCGTTGCCCTAGGCCCAGCCATCATTCTTGTCTCTTGAGCTAATGTATAATCTCATAAATCTACCTTGAATTATTTTCCCCTCCAATCTATTCCCTATATGCTGCTCTTATGCCACTAAAGTATAGCTCTAATCTATTTAATTAATCCACTTCCTGTTCATCAATAAAGTCCAAATTTTTCTAACTGGTTTTCAAAATTTCCACAATTTGGTCTCAGGTTGATCTTGAGAAACAACTTCCAGCCAAGATGGAGGTGTAGGTACATACACTTTGTCTTCTCACACAACCAAAAGAAGGACAACAACAAATTTAAAAACAAAAAAGAACCAGAACTTTCAGAAAATTGAACTGTCTAGAAGTCCAACAGCCAAGGAGTTAAAGAAGAAACATTCATCCAGACTGGTAGGAGGGGCAAAGACGGGCAGCCGGGGCAGAGAGGAGGTGGAGCAAGGGAGGTGGCAGCTGGCAGACTGGGCAGTCTCACATTCACGTCTGGGTAAACCAAAAGGAACAACTGGGGAGTGAGACAGACCACACAACCCAGGTTTCCAGCGCGGGGAAATAAAGCCTCAAAACCTCTGACTGAAAAAACTGTGGGGGTTACGGTGGCAGGAGAAACTCCCAGCCTCACAGGAGAGTTTGTTGGAGAGACCCACAAGGTCCTAGAATGTACACAAACCTACCTACTGGGGAATCAGCACCAGAAGGGCCCAATTTGCTTGTAGGTAGTGGAGGAAGTGACTGAGAGCCAAGCAGGTAGCACTCTTCCCTCTCGGACCCCTCCCCCACATATAGTGCCACAACACTGCAACCTGGGTTGCTCTGCCCTGGCAAATACCTAAGGTGCTGCCCCTTACAACATAACCAGTGTGCCAACAAATATGTGGCCCAAATGAAAGAACAGATGAAAGCTCCAGAAAAAATATAAATGATGAGGAGATAGCCAACCTATCAGATGCACAATTCAAAACACTGGTAATCAGGATGCTCACAGAAATGGTTGAGTATGGTCATGAAATAGAGGAAAAGGTAAAGGCTATGAAAAGTGAAACAAAAGAAAATGTACAGGAACCAACAGTGATTGGAAGGGAACCAGGACTCAAATCAATGGTTTGGACCAGAAGGAAGAAAAAAAAATTAACCAGAACAGAATGAAGAAACAATAATTCAAAAAGACAAGGAAAAGCTTAGTTGTCCCTCCAGGACAAATTTAAAGGTTCCAACATCTGAACGATAGGGGTGCCAGAAGGAGACGAGGAAGAGCAAGAAATTGAAAACTTATTTGAAAAAATAATGGAGAACTTCCCCAATCTGATGAAGGAAGTAGATTTCCAGGAAGTCCTGGAAGCTCAGAGAGTCCCAAAAAAGTTGGACCCAAGGAAGCATGCACCAAGGCACATCATAATTACATTACCCAAGATTAAAGATAAGGAGAGAATCTTAAAAGCAGCAAGAGAAAAGCTGAGAGTTACCTACAAATGAGTTCCCATAAAACTATCAGCTGATTTCTCAAAAGAAACCTTGTAGGCAGGAGGGGGCTGGAAAGAAGTATTTGGAGTCATGAAAGGCAAGGACCTACATCCAAGATTGTTCTATCCAGCAAAACCATCATTTAGAATAGAAGGGCAGATAAAGTGCTTCCCAGATAAGGTCAAGTTAAAGGAGTTGATCATCACCAAGCCCTTATTACATGAAATGTTAAAGGGACTTACCTAAGAAAAAGAAGATAAAAAATATGAACAGTGAAATGCCAACAAACACAACTATCAACAACTGAACCTTAAAAAACAAAAACAAACACTAAGCAAACAACTAGAACAGAAACAGATTCACAGAAATACAGGTCACACAGAGGATTATCAGTGGAGGGGGTAGGGGGTAGGGGCAGAATGGGAGAAAAGGTACAGGAAATAAGAAGTATAAATGGAGACAGAATAGGCAGGGAGGTTAAGAATAGTATAGGAAATGGAGAAGCCAAAGAACTTATATGTACAACCCACAGACAGACGTGAACTAAGGTTGGGGAATGCTGGTGAGAGGGGGCATACAGGGCAGAGGGGAATAAAGGGGAGAAAAAAATGGGACAACTCTAACAGCATAATTAATAAAAATATTTTGTTATTATTTTTATTTTTTAATATAATTATTTTATTGATTATGCCATTACATTTGTTCTATTCCCCCTTCATTCCTCTCCACCCTGCACACCCCTCCCCCACCATTCCCCCCTTTAGTTCATGACCACGTGTCTCAAGTTCTTTAGATTCTATATTTCCCCTACTATTCTTACCCTCCCCCCTATCTATTTTCTACCTACCGTCTATGCTACTTATTTTCTGTATCTTTTCTCCCCCTGTCCTCCTCCCACTCCACTGTTGCTAACCCTCCATGTGATCTCCATTTCTGTGGTTCTGCTCCTGATCTAGCTGTCCTCTTAGTTTGCTTTTGTTTTAGGTGTGGTTCTTAATAACTATGAGTTTGCTGTCCTTTCACTGTTCATCTTTTTTAATCTTCTTTTTCTTAGGTAAGTCCCTTTAACATTTCATGTAATAATGGCTTGGTAATGATGAACTCCTTGAACTTGACCTTATCTGAGAAGCACTTTAACTGTCCTTCCATTTTAAATGAAAGCTTTGCTGGATAGAGCAATCTTGGTTGTAGGTCTTTGGTTTTCATGACTTGGAATACTTCTTTCCAGCCCCTTCTTGCCTGTAAGGTCTATTTTGAGAAATCCGCTGACAGTCTGATGGGAACTCCTTTGTAGGTGACTGTCCCCTTATCTCTTGCTGCTTCTAGGATTCTCTCCTTCATTTTAATCTTGGCTAATGTAATGATGATGTGCCTTGGCGTGTTCCTTCTTGGGTCGAACTTCTTTGGGAGTCTCTGAGCTTCCTGGATTTCCTGGAAGTCTATTTCCTTTGCCAGATTGGGGAAGTTCTCCTTTATTATTTGTTCAAATAAGGTTTCCACTTGTGACTGTTCCTCTTTCTCTTTTGGTACCCCTATAATTCAGATGTTGAAGCGTTTAAAGATGTCCTGAAGGTTCCTAAGCCTCTCCTCATTTTTTTGAATTCTTGTTTCTTCATATTTTTCTGTTTAGTCATTTTTTCCTTCCTTCTGGTCCACTCCCTTGATTCGAGTTCCAGTTTCCTTTCCAGTACTATTGGTTTCCTGTGCATTTCCCTTCATTTCAATTAGTTTAGCCTTCATATGTTCCTCTAATTTGTGACTAAAATCACTGAGTTCTGTGATCACCAGTGTTTTGAACTGTGCATCTGAAAGTTTGACTGTTTCTTCATCGCTTAGATTTATTGGCTCTGGGGCTCTGAGTTCTTCTTGAGCCATGTTTTTATGTGTTTGTACCTGTTACATAGGAGGAGCGGAGCCTTAGGTGTTCACCAGGGCGGGGCCACCCAGGTCACTGGTTTGTGATGCTGTATGTGGGGGTGGGGTAAGAGAGGGAGCAATGGCGGTCCTCTCAGCTTACCTGGTCCACCTCAGCACTCGCTCCCACCTGTTTATCTGAGCACAAATGTGCGAGCCCGCCGCCCTGCGCTGGGGCCTGCGCGGTCTGTTTCAATGCACGTCTCTTCATTGGTTTATCTGCTCGCAAACTCGAGACCGGAGACAGCCAGCCCCGCCTCGCCTTCCCGTAGCTTCCCCGCACCTGGGATCTGCGCCCTCGACTGCTTACACACTGCCCGGGTTGGGGGATCATTTTTTGCCCAACCAGCTCTGCTGCTGGCTTCGCCCCTCTCACCAGTTTAGCTGAGTGGTTCGTTGTTTTTGGACTCCGTATTTTCGATTTTCTGTGGTTTGGTTGCGTTAATTGTTGTTAAAACTTTGTTGTTTTAGATTTGGTTGTTCGAGAAAGCAAAGTGTTTCCACCTATGCCTCCATCTTGGCGGAAGTCTCAATAAAAATTTTTTAAAACATTTGGTCTCAAATTGTGTTTCTAATAAGACCCCCTCACATATCCTACACTTCAGCTGCTTTGACTCACTTGTCTCCTTACAACCTACATTTTCCTATCTCTATCCTTTAGTATCCATCCAAGATCACAACTGGAATGCCTATTTTTCTTTACCTGTATCTCATTTCCACCTGACAAATGTCTACTCCTTCTTTGTCCTTTAAGGTTCAACTTAGAAGATGTCTGTGCTCCAAAGCCTCTGTCCTTCCTGCTTTGAGCTCTCTGGGTACTCTTTCTCACATTGCTTCTTATAGGTAGTTCCACAGACTCACAGAACCACTGCAGATTTGAGCTAAAGATGCCTTAGAAACCATTTGGTTCAAACTTTGTCCTTTATGAATGAGGAAACTGAGGTCCAGAGGTAGGAGGGAGCTACCCAAAGTTAGAGTGAATTCATTGCAGCCATGCAGTGTAACACCAGGCTGAATCCCCTGAGTATGTAAGGACACTTTCAGGTCAAGGTGTGTAGCTTATTGACAACATCTGTACTGCCTCACCCTCCTCCCTCAAGCCTCTGACCCAAAGCAAGGTGGCAAATGTTTGCTGAATTGAGATGGAGCTCTATATTGACAAGACATGAAGTGGGAGGGAATCTGGGGCTCCACCTGGGTGAGGGACTGCGCTGATCGGCATGGAATGGCTATGGGTTTTCCAAGTGGTGGTTTTATACCTAGTGAGTGAGGACAGCTCCTGCAGAGGAAGACTTTTGATTATAAGGGGAACTAATATCAGAAATGCTAGATATTAAGTCATGCTTCTAGGAGAGCAGGCTGGAGAAATACCCACCTCTGGAGCTTTTTCTCTGAGTCCCTGGGAGAGAAAAAAAAAGATGCAATTCAAAGTTTGTGGTATCCTAAACAATAGTTCAAGAAGTTAGCATTTCCCTGGCTTAAAAGTGTAAAGATTTTTCTAGTCAATATGCAACTAATAAAAATCTAATCTGTGGAAAGAACAGAAGGGATACATCGACAAAGCAAAATTGGCCTTTTGTTTTAAGGACATGAATACTCTCTTCTTTTTCACTCTTTATCAAATAGGTGAATTAAATGACAGGCCATGACACAGAGGCTTGGAAGTTGCACAGAGCGCAAAGAGGTCATCTGGTCTACTTCTCTCATTTTACGTAAGAAGGGAAGCTGGAGATGGAAGTGCTTCACCTACAGCCACAAAAGAATTGCTAGAATAGCTATAGCTTGAACTGAGGGCTCAGGTACCTGCCACTGGACCATATCCTTGAAAACAAACCCAAGTCTTACTAAACTAATTTGAATTAACCCCTTTGTGAAAAAATAGAAGCCCTACTGGGGCTGGAAGCCACCAGTTAAGAAAACAATTAAGTTTGATTTGGAGGCAGAAATGAAGTTTCAGTTAACCCCCTGGTCGGTCTAGTAGAGGGGTGCATGTAGACCCAGGTCTTTTCAGACTTATGCTACCTGGATCTGGACCAGGCCTTCTCAGCTGTGGCATTTGCTAACATTTGGGCTGCATCGTTCTTTCTTATGGGGGCTGTCATGTGCATTGTAGGAGATTTAGCAGCATTCATGGCCTCTACCCACTAGATGCTAGTGTTAAATCCCCATCCCGAGCTGTGACAACCCAAATTGTCTCCAGACATTGTCCCCTGGGGTCAGTATTTCCTGTGGTGCTGAATCTTGCTAGCACAGTTGAGAAGTGGTGAATACATATATGTATGCCATACCACATATCACATTTTGCTATTGTTTTAGGTTAAGGAAATATCACAATACTTATGTGCTACCCTAAGAATAGAAGCAGAACCTGTCTGCTGAGTGGTCCCAACTGGCCTAGACTCTGCTGATGCTCTTTCTGGTCCTCACTTCTTGACCTTCCATGCTAGCTTCATTACCAATTTGGATGTGTTTTTGGATCCAGGGAAGCACTTTGCTAAGGTCTGTGAAGATCCCAGGGGATCCTTGGTCATCGCTCTGCATGTTGTTGCTCCAGCCTCGACCACAGCCCAAACCCCAGGATGTCACACCAGCGAGAGTCCAAGTCCCTTTCTTGTTCCGGCACATGAGGGCACCTCCTGAATCTCCCTGTAGGCACAAAAAGCCTGTTACCATCACGATCAGTATCTGAGCCCCAAAGTGCTCACTCTTTTCACCCATAATAACATTTCTTCACTTCTAATAGTTTGGACTGAGGCTTGGAAGCACATCAGAGCCTCATCTATTAGTGGAGTTTATCAGTTCCGTTTCCTTCTTTCCCATCCTAGGCTTTCATCAAGCATCAGGCTTTCTTTCTTTTCCTGTCTCATCTCACAGGCTCAGAGAAGTCTTGCCCCAAAGCAAAATTGAGCTCAGGTTTTGGTCAGCAGGAGGGATAGAGGGAAGGTAAATCTCCCCTTATACAGGAACTGGAAGCCTCTAAATAGGAAAGAGCCAGCCATTCTTGAGCGATATTATTGGCATTATCTGTTATTTAGTCATTTGCAAAAAGTTGAAGACCTCCTCTGAATTTACTCCCCCTGGTATAAATAGGTGGTTTAAACTGTCCCTTTACTTTGATTCAACCTCTCCTGTCACTCTTGACCCATCTTCAGAGTCCAGTGTTACAACACTGAGGGAGGCCCTGCCTGGGGCCCATCAGCCCAACTGCTCCCACCTACCTGACACGCATCTCTCCCTCCATCTGCAAAGCCTGTGCAGAGAAAGGTCCGCCCACTGATGGGTTTCTTCAGGGTTAATAGAGCTGCTGCACACTCCTCCTGGGTCAGAATGGGCAGGTTCACTTCCTGCAAGACTTGTGAGAGGATGCCATCTAGAAAACACAGAGATGAGAGCCCCAGCAGGGCACTCGTCCACCCTTTCTGAGTTGAAGGTGCCTGCCCTGTTCAAGTTTGTGTCTTCTGGAAAGACCTGAATTTCTAAGTACATCTTGATATTCTCTGTTTTTGAAAATGTTTATACCATTGTTTTTTAAAAAAACATTAAAATTTCTATTTTCTGATTAACCAGCAGAAAGTCCAGACATCTGATTAAGGGTAGGGGCATAGAAATCCTTACCTTCAGTCAGGCGGCCCCAGCCTGCAGTTGTACAAATCAGTCCAGGCTTAAACTGTTCTCCTGGCTCTGGAAGACACATGGGCCCCACAGACTGGCCTGAAATAAAGAGCAAGGCAGGGCATGGAGGGGAGGACACCAGAAACCCCTCCTCAGCTGGCATCTAGGTGGTTCCCCCTCAACTCTTCTTGGAGGAGTCGTGATATTTTTGCCTGACACTTCAGGTGTCGCTTGTCAGATAAAGAAAGACACTCTCTTTTCTGTATAATCCCATATCTGAAGCTACAAGCAAAAGCATTTCAAATAGGGGACCCTCCACCTCAAATCCTTGTCCCTATGTCGTTGACCCCAAATTGTCAGGCATAACATATGCTGTAAGGAATGTGCTATACAACAGATTTATGGAGAACATGGGTAGATAATTCAGAGTGAGCCTGAAATGTTTACCAAAATGGAAGGCGCCAGCCATCTTCAGAAGAGCAATATCATAGTCCATTGGTTTCTTGGTGGAGAAATATGGGTGTATGATGATGCTTTCAATGGTGAGGGTTTGCTCTCCTGGCTCTGTATGGCTCAAATCATGTTTTCCAGCAGTAATGTTCAAAGCTGATGCACTGTTTCTGTGAAGAGGAAGCAGTGAAATGAATTAATTTCATTGAGCCTCTGAGTACAGTTGTAATGGTTGACAAATGGGCCTCCTCAGAGTAGCATGGATGGATAACTGGGGTCATGGCTGCTGAACAGAAAAAGTGAGAATGATTCCAACACTCAATAAAAATGCAGAGGTTCTCAGTGTGATTAGGGGAGTAGTAAAGAAGGGTTTCGTGGAGTCAATGATGCAATAAATGGAATACTTTGCAATGCTATTTGTAAAATGTCTAAAGATACACATATATCAGATATATGTGTGTATATATATCATATATGTGTGTGTATGTATGTATGTGTATGTGTGTGTATATGTATGTGTGTGTGTGTGTGTATATATATATATAAATAAATAAAATTCAGGGGCCTAAAGCTAGAGTGGACTTTATTTAGCTGCCCTAGGTGATTGGCCTGGCCTCCTATCAGCAAATGATTTGTGATCCTCACTAAGTATGTTGCTTTTTTACTGAGAGAGATCTAATGCACAATGGACAAGTATATTGTCAAGGACATAACAGCACCATAACTCTCACGCCCCAGAGAGCATGCACTCTCAGGGCTTTGGAACTGATTACAGCAGTGGGAGGTGGGGATCTTCTCCTTGCCTCCTTTATGTTTGTAATTTAGAGACCTGGCATGACAGGGGAAAGACCATACTTTTTCCCTTCCTGAAGCCAAGTTACCTGAAAGAACTGGATGAGATGAACTGAGATGGATTAAGATCTTTGGGCTTAGCCACATTTTGAGACGTTTCATTCCTTAAAGTGATGAGCTTGTTAAAAAAATGGGAAGGGTATAATTTTCTCTTGGTGTACTTTCCTGGCTCTTGGCTATATTAAGTACCTAACCTAACGCTTAGCAACTCAGTAGCCTAACCACCTGTCACATCACAGTGGACTTCTCAGTTGACTCTTCTTTAGATGGTCAACTCTCTGTGGGCAGGAATTAGGTCTCACTCATCTTTGAATCCTTGGTACCCACTAGTGCACCAAATAAATATCCAGCAGATATTTGTAGATTTGAAATGGGGCAAATGCGGGCACATGATTTTGATTGCAAGAGCACACAGGAATGGGGATAAATGATGGAAGTTGGTGGATTGGAGCTCATAGAGGCAGGATCAATCCTGGAAGAAGATATGGGGGCCTTCTTTTGTTTTACTGGCCTCCTTTTGTTCTCTTTCATCCAGTTCTTAAGATGCATTAATGAACTACATGATTTTTTTCACTGAAATTTAGGGAAACTAGGAGAGAATTTTCACAAATATTATCTTTGTGATACTTTTTTCTCACTTGGATATTATTCTTTATCAACTTCCACTTATATGTAACTATTCTACTTCCTCAAGAGTTGTATGTTTTCTCCCAAGTTGAGTGCCCTCTGACAACATCACTGAGGCCTACTTGTGTTATACAATTAAGATGTTCTCTCGCCAAAGCATACATCACACAGTTCCTGTTTTAAGAGTTCTTGCTGCATATTCCGAGGGAAAGAAGGGTGATCTGACCTGTATCCATGTGCTGGGCCTTCCCCTACCTGTTTGCAACACAGTGAGCAGCTGTAACCACCCACTGTGGGGAGATAATGGTTCCTCCACAGATATGCTTCTGCCTTCGTTTCAGAGACACCTGAAATGCAAAGACCTTAAATAAGAGCGAGTCAATGCCATACAGTCCCCCCAAACCTGGAGACTGGGCATATTCTGAAAAATAACCCCAGATGTCTTCTTCACAGACACTAGAAATCACCACCTGTGAAGGTGTGAAACCCATTTCCCTACAGCTCAGAAAAAAGAGCAGAGCTGGAACCACAGCTTGCCAGCCCTGGTTCATGGGAGAGGTGGCTAATTTCAGATAATTGGGTGTAAGTATTTATTTTGTGTGAATTGTTGGTATTAATTTATTTTTATAATAATGTTGATTCATACTGTTACTCTAACAATATAAATAATGCCTGTGAATGAAGAGGGAGAAAAAGAGTCATAAGATATAGCAGAGTCCAAATGAACAGGTTTGGGAGAAAGGCAAGGTGAGAGCTAAGGAAGGCTTTCAACACATGCTCCCATCCTCCCAAGCCTCTTAGAGAAATAGTCTGGACCTACACTCTTCTGGTACTCTTAACTATTTGACCTCTACAACTTCTTCCAGCCAACTTTTTTGTACCCTGCCTCTATCTTGGTTTATCCTGTTCATGATATTTGCTTTGACTCTAAAATTACTTACAGAATACAAGTAATACTTTTAATTCTATTGTTGGATTAAGAAAGTGAGTGACTTATTAGAATTGTTCTCTTTTTGACCAAAAATTATTCAATGAGTGATTGAGAAAATATTTAATGCAGAGAAAAGGCTAAGAACAGAATAAAGCAAGTAAGTAAACGTCAGTGATTACTCTCTGACTATGACTTGAATAGGGACTTCTGAATTGACTAGCCAACCAACTGACTAAGTAAGGAACTAACTGATCAACCAACTCTTTAACCAACTCTTTAGTAATTAATTGATCAACCCAGTGAATACAAACTCAGTCAACCAACCATTACCAAATATCTACTCACCTAAAAGTTAATATGACTGACTCAAGAGAAGTACAAATAAAGAGCTTTCAGTCTACATGCATAATTAAATGGCAAGAATACAGAATGGCTCCAAGGGTAAAGAAAGTTGGAAGATCTTCAAAGACAATAAATGTAAACACCATTGGCTAGGGACAGAAGCACAGGGACATTTCTATGGCATGAGAGGGTCAGGAAATTAGACTGAGATAGGATTCTTAGAATATTAGCTATTAAGAAGGAAGTAGCCTTGATTATTTCCTGAGAGGTCCTATTGTATAGGTACAAATCTTATACCTTAGGCATAAAGTAGACCTATGGATAGGACACCTTTAACTTCCCTGGTCATCTTTAATTATAAAGATATAGTTATATTTATACTTATAAAGTTATACTTATCTCTATACTTATAAAGATATAAGTATATTTTTAATATATGTATTGAATCAGAACATTACCTTTTAATTGTAAATTTAAACATTTTTCATCTTCTTAAAGTGGGATTTTTGTCTTAGGGGTTGAGAGTTTGGGATGGCATTTTCAATTTTTGGAACAAGGCAATACGTATGTAACTATTCTGGACACACTTTTGCTGGATCTTAACTTGTCCACGCCACAAGGGACTTGAATCCTGCACACACTCATGAGATCTCTGGTGATGAGCTGGGCAGAACAGAGCACACTAATGAGTGGCATGTGATTCTAAGAGATCCAGTCCCAAGACAGCTTATAGTTCACCAGAGGATGTTCTCTGAGTCTTACCTGCCATGGGTAAGAGCCCTTTACCACTTGGCTTCCCCCAACAATGCGACTAAAAATGTTAAAGTAATTCCAAGGCTGTGTCTTTACCAGACTCTGCCCACAAGTGGGAGCTGGGGAAAAGAAAAGAATAAATAAAATTAGTGATTAGATAGCCTCTAACACTGAGGGATAGGGGGAACTCTTCTGAGCTAGAAAAAAAACTGTAGGACATGGATCATGTAGAAAGATTACAAAATGGTTTTAAGTTAATTGTGGGATTCACTGTCATTGTCAGTACAAAGGATTATTTAGCTTTTGTCACATAGAACATGCATATTGTGATATAAAGATTAAGAACCATGAGGTAGATTTCTACTGGGTTAGTAGGGGTGCAGCCCCCTTTGCTTCTGAGCAATATGAATTCTTCAAGGCTCCTCACAGCACTCTATACTTCTATGATATTAATTATATGCATTATGGTTATTTCTGTGTCTTTGGACCTAACTAGACAATGATGGCATAATCTGCCTGAATTTGTAATTGTGTGTGCATCATCTCCTCTGCTCCGCCCAGGGGGCTGAGTCTGAGACCATGTTCTGTGGTACCTGACGTACAGTGAGATATTGGATTTAATTCTCTCTGAGGGTAGAAAGTAGCAGATTATTCAAGGAGAGTGAGGTGCAGAGGAGACTGTGTCCTGATTCACACACACACCAGACTAGTGTTAGGATAGATGAGTTGCCAGTTAATAGAAGAAAGAACTCTTCTGTCTTTGTGGAAAAGACTTGGTCCCTGAAAGTTTCATTTACTTATTTATGCTCAATTTCTTTGACTCCTCAGCTAAGAGATAGGTAGGATTAAAGATGTTTGAAACTGCCTGGTCACTCACTGTCTTCTGATTCTACTGCAGATCATTCGTTTCTACATGTTTTCTAGGAAGGCCTGGAAGGCCCTGGCTCATAATCACCCTACTTCCTTGCTTAGCTGAGTCCTCTGATCCTTGTTCTTTGCTTGGAGATCACCTCAATTGAGAAGTCTTCCTTGATTTCCTCGAGATGTGCCTGAAGTGTCTCTCTTCTTTCCTCTGTAATACTCTTTTTTCCTCTCCCCTTTTATAATTTTGCCATGCAATATTGTGATAGTGAATTGCTTGTCTGTCTTCCTCATTGGACTGTGAACTACTTGAGGAAAAAAACCTAAATCTTTATTTATCTCTGTATTTCCAAGGTTTGGCACAATTCCTAGCATCAAGTAGACACTTGATGTTGAGTGGATGAACCAAAAGTTTTCCTTGAGAACATACCCTTGACAGCACAGCTGTTTAGATTAATACGTTAAAATATACAAAACTCTTTTGCATAACGTCTTTTTTAGCCCCTCCCCCATTCTGGGCCTGTGAACCGAGCATTACTACCCCCGCTGTGGGTGAGAAAACAAAGAATCAAAGAGATGCATGGCTAAGTCATGGCAAAGCATGGATGCAACACTAGCCTTTCATTTCTGAACCCACTGCAGCCATGACATTAGGATCAAAAGCTGATTTTCTGTTTCAGCTGAATGAGTCGTAAATAAAATACTTCAGATATAAAATATACTATTTTCTGAACTCATTGGAGCAAAGACAGAAAACATGATGATTCTGAGGGCTGGCACAGATCTGACTGCAGAGAACTGTTTTCAGCTTTCACTGGAGGCAAAAAGACCATTTATAATACACTACAGTGAACATGCTTCATATATCCCAGCATGGCAGTTTTCCAAAATATTACAAATGCTTCCAAATTTGTGCTGTTTTCTGAATTTGTTCCATGCATGAGGATGGGACTGTGCAATATGTCCAACTAAGTGAACAGTCCCAGTTTTTTCCAGATCAATGCAACTTGTACAAGTTGTATTCTACAAATGTCTTTCCCAGTTTTATATGCTGATTTCAGGAGGAAAGTCCAAAATAATTACATGAAAAACAATTAGGTCTCCACAATATGTTTGCTTCTCCAGTTTTCCCAAAGAAGTATGGACCGGAGCAATGATGCTCAGCTCCAGCAAAGGTCATTCCTTCAGACAAAGATAATTACAGAGCTTGTTTGCAACTTACCTTTGGAAAGAGAAATATTTGCAGACTTATCTTGTTCCAGACAGATCATTACGAGTAGTAAAACCAGCTTATTCTTACTCATAGGCATTTTGAGATTCAGAGTTTCTTCTTGAAATTTTAAAGAGACTAAGGAGAACCAAAATAGAAAGCCTTGTGAGTCCAGCAAAAAAGCCAATTTAAAAGGAGGTTATTTGTTAACTAAGACTTGAGGCATTCAGCCGTGTCCATATGATGTTTCCGAAAGGTTTCTTGTGAAGACCTTAGTAAGACGTGGGAGTTACTCGCAAAAGCATAATCTTGATTGAGCAATATTACACGCCCCATTACACTCATATCAATTCACTGTTCCTCCGAGTCTGTCAGGCTAGCTAAGTGGTTGGTGTCTAAGGTTTTCATTTGCAAACATTGCTTGCTTCTTAGTACAAATTACCACTTTCTACAATAGGATTAGATGTCAAAGTTGTTTATGTTTGCAAGAATGGACTTTACTACACGTTTGAAAACAACCCATGAGAATACACTAGAACAGTTTTTCTGTCTCTTATTTTCCAAATGTAAACAAGTGGTCATAACCATGGGTTAGAGAAGAAGGGAAAAGGAAAGATAATTTGGTAGCCCAGTCAGGAAGTCACTCATTTAGGGTGCTGTCCACTGGGGCATTGGAGATTCTGCATTTTGTCACTACTGTTTTGCATTTACTGAAGGTGAACACAAAGTCTCCTTTACTGCTACACCCGGTGGGTGATGTAGCACGGTTATGTGCATGTCCTCTTCCCTGGCCGAGTTTGTGACACATGGTTAATGTGTGAGAAACAGCTGTGGATCAGGTGGTGCTATCAGTGACCACTGAGGAATATGAGACTTTTCTGTCAACTTTTACAAGTTACCTACCCCAAATGGAAGCCCCTACCTTCTTTGTGGCAGCTTTTGCCTTTGTACTAAATAAATCTATTTAAAAAATCTGAACACATACAAATAACATAAATGCACAACAGAGAAGTTTTAAAATCTAAAATTTGTGTGAACTGCAAATTTAAGAAACAGTCAAGTCTGTGTCCTTACAGAAAGAAGGACACCCAGAAGCTCCAGGTGTTTATTCCTTTGTTCACAGAAGATGTTTTCTTTAAGCTCTTGTATCAGCACCCACAGCGATACCACAACACGACTGTCAGTACGTATCAGCACCCTCAGTAACAATGTGAAGCTGGTCAGTAAAGCTTTGATTCTCTCATCTCTTCAGAGTGTAACCTGAAGAGGTAATTCCTCTTACTGCTAAAAATCTTTCATCTTCAGGAACAGTATACCAGGATCTGAAAAGGAAGGAGTAATTCTCCTTCCCTTCCCTTATGAGTCTTATAATGCAAATGGTAGGATTTCCATAAGGCCAGCTATCCAAGCCTCCAAGGGTCCTAGGGATTATAATAAATTGTACTTTGAAGTAGTACCTTGCAGGAAGGGAAATACTAACTTCCATGGCAAAAATATAACCTCCCTCCTCATTTAATGTTTGTGGGAAATTATTTATTGTCCCAAATTGTCTTGTTTTCTGGCTTTCTCACTCACCTACGTCTTCCCTGGCCCCCTTCCTCCCTCAGACCACAAAGTCTGATCTTCATAAAAACTACCTAGGAGAAGGCCTGCAGAGGACACAGCACAGCACAAAACCTTCACCTAGAATTTTGGGACTGGTTCTAGTCCCAAATACAGGTGCAGACACTCCTGTGTTTAATTTCTCTCTTCTACCTTCTTCATTCCAGTATGTGATTTTTTTTCCTTTTTCTGCCTTTGCAGAGTCCTGCATCAGGCAAATCCATATACCATTTCCTTCCTTTTTTTCCTTCCCAATGTGTTTCCTTTTGCTTAAGTTTATTTCTCTGCTGACCATCTTTTGTGTCTACTACTGCTGGGAACTCCCTTCCCACTCTTCCTTTCCCAGCATTCCTGGAATTCCTGGACACAACTAAAGTTTTCCTCTTCACAGGAATCCTGCCATTTGCATTCTAAGACTCATAAGGTAAGGGAAGGAGAATTACTCCTTTCTTTTCAGTTCCCCTCTGTTTCTCCTGTCATTTCCAAGTCATCGTTTCCCTTTTAAGACCAGATATTTTAAAACAACACCTTCATTGTTTTTCATTGCCCTCATGGTGTTCTCTGATTTTCCTTAATTATTTTACAGTTAAACTCACAGTCTCTCTCTTTCACTTGCCTTCAGTTTCCTGTCCCCTCCTGTGACAACAGGAGGTAAACAGGTGTCTATAAAGACAATCGGCGACTCCCATCTAGGGTTTGTATGAAGCTGGCAGCTTGAGAACATGCCACATCAAACAAGAATCATTTTCGGTGTTTTCCTTTGGTAGGAACATATGAGGGAATATTTGGGCCCAAGGGGCAAGGCAGCGTTCCAGGCGGCTGGTAACATCCAGGAAGAATGAGAAGCAGACAGGTCCAGCTGTCCAGCCCCTGGGACTTGCTTCCTGACAGTACATCCTGTCTCTATCTGAGAGCCACTGAGTTGGCTGTGGTAAATGTTTATGTCATTCATAGAAAGGCTAGTAGATAATCAGAAGTACAAAGCTGAGCAAACAATAAGAAAGAGCTAATCATTAAGGGGGGAAAAAAAAGCAATACTAGGAAAGGGAGGCACTAACTGTAATCATCAGAAGATCCAACTCTCAAGGAAATGAGTTGGTAAATTAATTAGAATAAAGACTTTAGAATAATATAATCAATATACTCAGAGGAACATCAGAAACTATTGCATAGTAGGAACGATCTTGAGATAGTAGCAAATAAAAAGGTATTGTTGGAATAAAAAACAAGCCCTCAGCAGATGGGTTAAACATCAAAACAGACACAAGAAAGATACTCTAGTGAGAAGGAAATATGTTCAAGGTGCAGCCCAAAATGTCAAAGACATGGAAAGAATGAAAGAAAGATTAAGAGATGGAGAAGATAGATCACGCGAAGTTCCAGCAACCAACTAGTGGGAGTGGCAGGAGAGAAAGAGTGGGGGAGTGGGATTGGAAAAGCAACACAAGTGGAAGAATTAAAGAAAAAATTCAGTTCTGAACAGAGACAAGAGTCCTCAGGTAGAAAGGTCCCCTTAAATACAAATTATAAAGAAGGACAAGAAAGCCCTATTGTGAAAATCGTGTGATAAAATATAGAGCATATCTTCAAAGTGTCTAAAAATAATAACAATGAGCTACAGAAGAGCAAAACATTGACATCAGATTTTTTATCAGCAACATGGAAGGCAGGAAGATAAGTAAGCAACTCTAAGTTGTGAGATGGAAAGTTATTATGTATGTAGAATTTTATACTTAAATGATATATGATTCAAGCAGGAGGGAATATAAAGACATTGTTATGGCATGGAGGGACTCAGCAATTTTACTAATCACAAGTCGTATCTTTTTGGATGAAGAACGAGAGAACCTAAGGGCAAGAGTAAGCAAAGGAACAAATAAAAGTCTAAATAATTGTGGATAAGAAATAATAATTTGAGCCAAATATCCTAATGACTTAAGAAACAAGATGGGAAGTGGTGAGGAAGGGAGGGAGATAACGCATGCTCAGATCTTTGTCTAATTTGATGGTAGGATATAGAAACTAATTAATTCCAGAATTGGTAGAAAATGTGAATGCAGTGTTAAAATTTGAAGAGTTTTAACTATTAGAGGAATAGAAATAAGATGCATACATTCTGTTATTAGATTAAACATAGTGTAAAGAAAATTGATTCAACCTAAGTAAAACAAATAATGTTAGGAAAACAACAACAAAGAAAACATGGTAAATAGAAAACTTGAATCAAATCTGTCATATGAAATCATGTTCATAGCATATGGACAAATTTGGTAATATCAACAATTAAGGAGTGAAGGAATGTGTACTCTAAGATACTATTGATGGGAAACAAATTAACACATATTTTTGAAGGCTTTATAAAAATAACAGATGTAATTCACATGAAAGTTATAGCAGTTCTTAAACATTTGTATACCTAATTGCAGTGTTTAAATTATGTAAATAAAAGTTTGATGATATGAGAAAATTATTTATTTATTTATTTATTGTTAGTTACAGTTGTCCTGCCCTTATCCCTATTGCTCTCCCCTTCCCTGTCTCCCCCCATGCCCACAGTCAATCCCTCACATTGTTTGTGTCCTTGAGTCCTCTATTCATGAGAAATTGAAAAATCAACAACCATAATGCAAGGCTTTCAGAAATTGGTAGGTAAAATAAAAAATAAAAAAGTAAATTTGATCTAATAGATTACTTACTTAAAGCACAAATTTTAAAATTATGCTCATTTTCTTTAAGTGTAATTTGTCAGTATGTATTAGAATTTAAATTATGCAAACCTTTTGAACAAGTAATTTCACTGTGTAGACTACATCCAAGGAAACTAACTGGTGTATGAGCACAGTGAAGCATTAGCAGAGATATAGTTAAATAAGTAATTTGAAGTACTATGAATCATTACAAAAAATGAAGGAAATTAATACATACTTACGTGAATTATCTAAAAAATATTTTAAACAAAAAAGGCAACTGCAGAACAATACAGACAGTAACATTGTTTATGGAAAACCACATGGAAATGAGGAACAAGGAAGAAATTCTTGGCTTATGTGGAAAGGGAGACTGGGAGAAAGATAAATATAGGGCAGAGAAAGGAATGATTGCAATAACTGCATTTCTGTATTTAAAGGGTCCACCATTGGGGTGGGATGGAATCTGTATGACAAGTGGGAAATGCCAAGGCTGATGAATTAAGTTGTGGGTCACTTTCACACAAAGGCATCATGGCTTTTCCTGCAGCTCTCTAAGGTGCCACTAAATAGAACCACAGGACAGTGGTTCTAGGTCAGAGCTGCTTCTCAGGAATATCACAGGTGATCAAAGCTTAGCCTACATTAATTCTGTTGCTCCAAATCAAGTTTCAAAATGAATTAGATCTGTGCACTGAGATACTCGTACGCAAATAATGAAGGGAATAAATGAAGCCCCTGAGACCTTAATGAGCATCTCAGGCAGCGTGGTGGTGTAGGTGTATGTGAACACAATTATCCCTGTCTCATT